TGATTGAAATGCTTGTATTGAAACATTTTGCATTCTACCGATGATAAAACTGTGCTGTTAGGTTTTGTGAAGGACGGCCACTGATAGGAAGCTTTTTAGCTGCGTTTATGATAAATATGTTTAACAGTGACTGTAAATATGTATATTAGGTATGGAAATGACATATTTTGAGTTTTGATATTTGAGATTGTGCTACTTTGGGTGCTTTCGTGGATTACTTTAACCACCAACCAACCACACCCCAGCCCCCCGCCTCGCCCACACCCACTGTCCTCTTTTTGGAAAACTAAAATATGGTCATGCTAGCTAAAGATAGGCGATTAGGCTATTTTTGATGGACGCCGCGTCCAAGCCGCACATAATTAGATAATTGAGGATGTGTTTTAAACTACTAAAACAGCTATAAATGTTTTGTCCTTGCCGTTCATAACTAGACTTTGATATGATGTAAGTCATGAAGCACACTTTTACTTTTGGAGGGAATTTGCATTTGATTTTCTCCACCGCATTCACACACTGACACTCTCCACGCACGTGTGTGTGTGTGTGTGTGTGTGTGCGCACGTGTGCTCATGTTCTTCACACAGTTCTTTATGTTCTTCCTGCAAGCACTTTATTTTTCATTGATATTGAACAGATGTAATTATTTTGTTCAGATCAAAATGTTATGACATTGTATGTTACCATTTTTAAAGGTGCTGTATGTAAGTTTTTGACTCTACTAAAGCATAAAGATACCATAATATGTTTGCAGATATTTAAACTTTTTAAAAAGTCAACATGCTTGTTTATCTGAAAAACAATGCTACAGTCAGTTATTCTCCTTTCAAAATGTGCTTTCCGGGCCGGAATGTCGGTCTCTGTTTTGGTTTGTGAAACCCGCCCACTGCCAGTTTACCCAATTGTATTTTGGCACCCCGGGTGGCAACTTGCGTGTGCGTCAAGTCTGAGAAGGAGGGGCCGGGTGAAAAAAACCCTCTCCAATATTTTGAATTTGGAATGCAATACCTAGTTCAACCACTCTGTGTCAATCCTACATACAGCACCTTTAACTTAAACTGTGAACCTTTAAAGCAGGGTCTAAAATATATATGGTCTGTTTATAATAGCTTACATTTTAAACATTTTATTTAACTAAAGAATCCTGCAAGCACTTTACTTTGCCCCCTTTACTCGTACTGCACAAAAAGTGGTTCAATGACATTGAATGTTACAGTGACTAATTAATGCAAATGCAGATCCCAACTTTTTTTTAAGGTTTGCATATGTTGAAGTGTTCTTAATGACAGCTTTCCTAAAATTATCCTATTCCTAATATAAGAAATATTCCAATATATCGCCTTGCTTACAGTATCGCAATGTATCAAAACATATCGTATCGCAACCCATGTATCGTGATATGTATCGTATCGCCAGATTCTTGCCGATACACAGCCCTAATGGAAAGCTATAATATGACTTCAGTCAGATAACTTGTAATACAGCCACTTTTTTAGTTTTTTTTTTTTTGTGGTGTAATACATTTGTCTTTGTGTTTAAGAAAAAGAAAGTCATACAGGTTTGGAATGATACAAGTCATTTTTGGTGAACTTACAAGTTACACAACTACAAATAAGACATTTGTACATTAAATCTCCATAAACACTGGCTCCATGCTAATAAAATGGTATCCTCATATACCATAGAACCATGTAAGTACTATTGAATATGAATATGGTGATAATACAGATACTGCCACAGTACTACCTAGTAAAAAAATAAAAGAGCATATGCGTGTATTCAAATCACACAGACGCTGATGTGTACAGATCAGGGAACGTGGCATTCAACATCTCCATGGACTTGGTTGCTAAGAGACGGTTGATTTTAACAAGCCGACTGTTGCCATGGATAAAATCTCCAATCAAAATCAGATGTTGCCTTTTTACTGCTTACTACTTGACTAATCCCTGACGCATGTAACACCTTAGAGCTGACAAGCTTTACTGATTCCTCGTAAGACCCCTGGTCTTTTTATGAGCAGCTATATATCAGCTGTGTGAAACGACCACACCGCCAGTGCATGTCGTCTAGTGATATGCACAACACACCAGTGTTGAGGGAGCTAGTTTTTGAAACGGCAGCATATATAACAATATGTACAACAATTTATTTTATTTTCAAAAACAGCAAGCTTGTACAAAGTGAAAACATCCTAATTTATATCATTAAAAAATGATGGACAGCAGCATTTAGCCTAAGCACAAGGACTTATGTCCAACAATTGAATCTCAGAATTATTTTTGAATCAACAGGTTCATTTACAGGAGCCACTGAAATGAATCTTTCCAATGCTACATAAAAGTGAAAAAGGCCTTTGTAACTGATTATTACCTCAGTTTGCTTGACTGTGAAGCTGAATACACAATACAATGTAACACAGAAACTAAAATATTTTGTCAAGCTACATGCTACTGGTTGGAGAAACTAGCTTGTTACTGCTACACTCTTGTGAAAACACCGGAACTACTGTCACACTACTGAAAAATATGGTTAAGTTAGTAGTGTCGCAACTTTTAGTTGATTACTCCCCAACACTGTAGTTCACACATTGTGAGGTTTAGAGAACATAATAAACACAAAAATGTAATGGCATAGGGATAAAATACGTAAATAAATAAAATAATGAAATAATGATGGTATAAAAATCAGGTAAATTTAAAATATACAGTGGGTACGGAAAGTATTCAGACCCCCTTAAATTTATAAATGTAAATTTAAATACAGAAACAAATACAAGATACATGTGAAATAAATAAAATAAGGTAACTTTACATAAATGGTCAATTTATATGAATGAATTAATAAATAAACAAGCATTTTAAATGAAGGTAAATCGAAAATAAATATATATAAATAAATAAAAGGTAAGCTTAAGTAAATAAAATAAGGTAAATAATAAACAAAAAGTGTTACACTATTATCGTTAGTAAATTGCATAAAGTGTGTATCCCAATAAACTGACCTGCCACACTTCTTGCAGGGGAATTCACCCTCTTGGTTCGTTTGTCCCTTTACTGTATTGCCAGTGCTTTTCCGGCCTGTGGTGTCAGAGCGGGGTTTAGATGTTGGTTGTGGTGGAGGAGGAGGAGGAGGATGAGGATGACTGACCCCCAATGTGGACGGATCTCTAGTGCTGTCCTCCTGACTTCTTAAGACCAAGATGGCAGCAGCCTAACAGGAAACGGATGATTACTTAAAGCAACCACAGCTGAATGCATACAGATATTAGACACAGGGAACATCCTCTGTGATGGCTGAGAGGTGGTGTAGTGAAGGATATCTGGTTCAAACCCCATGTAAGAGTTCACTATTGTGCCGTTCAGCAAGTTAATTGCAGGTTACTCAAGCAGGATGGTCTCTAATATGTAGACAATATTAAGTGCACTATGCACTGGATAAATCATTTAAGCTTGTAATGAGGCATACCACTAGATGGCGCTATAAATACCCTACTGTGCTGAACTACACATGACTAATGTCTATTGCAGACCTGTTTTCTTATTATTTCAAGTAGGCCAGAGCTGGTCATGAACATTGGAGAACTGCAAATTTCTGTAGGCACCAGGCGTTTTTGCAACCTCGTGCAAATCAAATCTCCCCAAACTCACATTTTCAGTGGCCTGTAGCGATTGTGTCAACCTGCCCGGGCTGTTTTCTTGTTTCCTGTCACATGACCCTTCCCACTTCCTGCTCTCCACGTCTTCTTTCCGAAATTCGAATTTCTGTGAACTCTGAATGAGAAGAAACATTTTGATGCTTCACTGGTTTGCAGGCCATTAAACCACCCAGGTACATTTAGACACAAAGCCACAGGAACTCACTTTATTGTCCACTTCCTCCTCTGTTGTGGGTTTAGTCTCTGGTGGCTCTGCTTCTCCGTATATGAGTGTTCCGTTCCTGCCGATCTTCACCTGCTTCTTATATGTGTAGTAGAACTCCACACACTGAGCCACTGTCTTGGAGCTCACCTTCAAGTCAAACATCAACACAATTCATTATTACCAGAATTCACTAGAACTGGAACCCATGCAAAACTGTCAGTGGTGGTTGCTAGGGTGATGCTATGCAGTTGCTAAGGTGTTCCGAGTGATTTATTTTTGTTTGAAAATTTTCTCACTGGTTGCTAGAGTTGTTCTATTTGTTTGCTAGGATGATTTATTTTGTAAGTATTTTTGTAAGATGCGTTTATTTTGATTGTTATTTTTAAAATGATTTCTGATTTCTAATTTCACATTTTCATGATTTGATCAATTATGAACTTTTATTAAACTCGTGATTTCCCTGCAGTTCCTTCACAGACCCCAGCTTGGGAAACCTTGATGTAATGTAATAATGCATTACAAGTCGTTAATAACAACAAATGGAATTTATTTACTTTCTCTTTGTATTTTTATAGCAATATGGCACAATTAAATTATTGAGATAAACAAGTTAGATCAAAAGTATTCCAAAAGTAATCAGAAAGTAGTCAAATTATATTACCTAAAATGTGTAATGTAATGGATTACGTTACCAACTACAATTTTTGCCAGTTAATTTGGAATCAGTAATGGATTACAATTTGTAAGTAATCCACCCAGCATTGGCTATTGCTAGAATGTTTTAGTGCATTGCTATGTGGCTTCTAGAGTGTTCTATTTGTTGCTCTTGCCAAAACATTTCTAACATATTTTAGTGCATAGCCATGCAACTCCCAGGGTTTTTCAGTTGGAAGTGTTAAGGTGTTGCTAGCATGTTACAGGTGGATGTTAGGCTATTGCTAGAATGTTTTAAGTGTTTTTAGTGCAATGCTATGTGATTGCTAGGGTGTTGTAGTTTGTTGTTAAAGTGTTGCTACAATGTTCAACTGGGCCAAACTCTCTATAATATACGTATCTAAATATGACTTTCTCCCATCTTCTCTTCATGCCACATAATTTGATTTGTGTGGGGGATTGACAATCATTGTGAGGTTTTTGTTCAAACCTGTACGTACCAGTTTCTGGACCATGAAAAAGTCCTTCTTGTAGGTAGTAATGCCTTTGTTGAAGAAACGCCGTTCCCCTGGCGTCCAGCTGTCAGAGCCTGTGCGGGACAGACAAACGGTGCACAGAATCAGATAGAGGCTGCTGTCCGTTTAGCCTGTCCTCTTATAGAGCACCCCCACCCGCTAACACAAACATATCCGCACACAAAGGACAGAGAGGGGGCAAACAGCCAGCACACACATGTCCAGACAAACAATGATGCCGCTGTCTTCTCCTAGGATTTAACAACATGCCACAGACACACTCCCTCTCCTCTCCTCCCGTACTCTACCCAGCAACCCACTCGGTCACCCAGCAGTCTCTCAGTCGAACCCCTCCCCTCCACTCAGCTGCTTTTGTTTATAACTGAGACACGGAGCGTGGTTTGGAATGCCAGCACAGGGGGTGAACGGGGTAACGCATGCCATACGGATTAACTCATCACCTCGGCCAATAAAAAAAGAAAAAAAGAAAGTGTGCTTGATGGTGAAGGGGACTTACCAGAGTAGTGGTAGCCAGCCAGAGGGTGCGCTTTGGGAAAGATGGGGTTTTTTAACAACAGAAGGGTGAGGGCTCCCTGAAAAAATGAAAAAGGAAGTGAAATTAGCATGGTTGAGGAAACAAAACTGGCTGCGGTGTGTGATGTGTTTTGGCCGAAGAGATGTAGTCACAAGTTAGAGAAACACACATCAGGGCATGTTATGCCCTAGAGTGGATATGAAGAGATTAATGAGGGCAGGAGAGATGCAATTCTGCAAGACCACTGCTATATCCTTAACAACATGTGTAAAAGGCTTTTGCTGAAGGCATTTAACCCAGCTGTGCAAGTCGCTGGATAATCCCTCTTGTTCTCTCCGCCTTTCTCCACCATACACTCTCTCAGGGTACAATAAATCGAGGACACCATAGTCTTTTCTGGGTCATCGAGCTTGAATGTGAGTTTTTTTCTTATATATGGCCCTTTTTCAACTTTTAATGATCTGGACCAGTGTTTCCCAACCTTTTTTTAGTCGCGGCACCCTTTGGAAATTATTGCCAGATGAGACGCAAACTATGTTTTCTCGACTCGATAACCAGTCTCGCTAGTAAAGTTTTGATGGATGAAGACTGCAATCAAGGTAAAGACGATTGCGGTGGTGTACAGGAGTCGTACAATAAGCACGCGTGAGTCCGTTATAATAATGCATGTATGAGTGCTCTTGACGCACTGATCGCACATTGTATTTATGCACAG